ATAAGGGAGCATTTGAATGGGCTAAGCAATTGGCCTATCACACCTTTGACTTTGTTTGCTTGGTCAGCACTCGCTCGGGACCTCCTATTTAGCGCGCGTGGGTCAAACTGGCGCCCTTTCACACATGACACATGGCACCCCCAGCTGGGCTGACCCATGTGGCTATGCTGTGTACTGTAGTGGGGTCGACTGTAGCAGACCGAGGACTATAGCAAACTAGAAACCGTAGCGTTTTTCCATTCAAGTTTTAAAAAATTCACATTGTTTTTTCTAAACACGTGAATATTATTTGGGAATTGTTTTTAGAAAAGTGAAAATCATTTGATTTTCGAATTTTTTTTGAAAATGTGAACATTTTATTGAAATTTCAAACTTTTTGATATCATGATTTTTTTTGAAAAAATATTTTTTTAATTCCAAACATTTTTGAGAGTGCGAACAATTTTAAAAAATGTGAACTTTTTTGAAATTCCAAACATATTTTAAATTGCGAGTATGTTTCGAAATTAGGAACATTTTTTGGAAAATGCTGAAATTTTTTGAAAAGTATTTTTTTTAAATTTATAAACAAAATTTGAAGACATGAGCATTTTTGAAATTCTAATTTTTTTCGAAAGGTATGAATATTTTTATAAAGGGAACATTTTGCAATTTTTTTTAAAAATCAAAGAAATACCAGTAAAGAAACAACATAAAAAATAAAAACGAAAAAAACCAGTAAAACTGAACTAGAACCTTTCAGAACATTCTAAAAAACCAGGGAAGAAATGTATAGCTAAATGGACCAACCCGTTTTGATTGCCCCGTGTGATTAGGCACATATTTCATGCTAGATGCGTCAAATAGGAAACTCTGGTTTCAAGTATGTACTCCAAAAAAAGGAGATGCATATTTGATGCAAAATGCGTCAAATAGGAAACATCCGAGTCAAGTATGTACTCCAAAAAAAGGAGATGTGAAATTCTCGGGCTTTAGCGATGTAATTTTAACTCTTGGATTTGTCACACGTTGATCTCGGCAGCGACTAGTTAGTGGATACCCCTTGAAGGCGATTCCAGCTGGCACGCTCCCAGGCTGTCACGTGGTGCGTCCTAGCGCAGCCTTGTATAGCGCTCAGGGCACACCCGTGGGACCACTTTGTTTTGCACGCAATTTTTTTTTGTAGGTTTAGGGGTTTTCAGATTTTTTACTTGGTTTTTCCTAGGTTTTCTCTGGAAAAGATCAATTTTTTTAGAACAGAAAAAGATCAATTTTTTCTCGCGTGAAGCTCATCATGTGAAAAGCACATTTGTGCTTCACGGTGAAGCACAACTGTGCATACGCCTGAAGTACAACTGTGCTTTCCTAAAACTTAAAAAGTGATTAGCGTAATTTGCTTCATGGTGAAGCACAACCGTGCTTCCGCGTGAAGAACAATTGTGATTCTCCAAAAGTGAAAATGCACAAAAATATGCTTTCATGTGAAGCACATATGTGCTTCCGTTTCCCCCCATTTCCGCCTTTTTATGTTCATTTTTGGTTCCTGTTTTTTTCAGGATAATATTTTTTGTCCAAACCTATTAACATGAGATCTAGTTATAGAGATTTCAACATGAGAAACTCAACGGTGAAAAGACTTCATGATTCAGATGCACGGTTCAAGAGATAACACATAAAAAAATGAATCTATGAAAAAAGCACACAACTCCCCGCTTGTGTCAAGTGTTGCATATGCAGTGTGCCATTTATCAGCATCAAAGAAAGTGAGAGTGACCTTTACAAGGGGTACTCCTCAACCAATGATTTCGGTTCGGTTGATCTCTTGTGGTAGTAACCGAGATAGCCCATTGACAACAAAATGAAAAGGTGTTGGATAAACTAGGCTAGGCCCATATAACAATTAAATTAATTATTGGAACATCCATAAGGCCCACTCATGCATAGCAACTGGTGGAATTTTAGTCTCACGCTGGAAGTAGAGAGGGAGTTAGATCAATATATAACGTTGTATTTTCTACCTAAGCAATTGGGAAGCGGTCTGCTAGACGCGACATGCACGTGACACTATTGGCTCATTGTGGTTCTATAAGAGTCCGCCCTCTCAGAGACAAAATATAGCCAGTCCCAATGATCTCTAGAGCTTTGCGCCCTCTCTAGGTCTTCCCATCCTGACAAGACTCGTGTGCCGGCCGCACCGCGAGAGCAGGCATCCAGAACCTCCTCCTATGATGACTTGCATGAACGAGGGTGAATAATGGTTCTTGGGGAGCATTCATGCATGTGATTGCTCGCTGCTTTGTCCACCTCCACGAGTGTTTTATACATGTCATGATCCAACAGATCTATTTTTTAGAGGATCCAACAGTGCTAACCTCGTTGCATAAACTGTTAGGTCTAAAATCCTTGAGATACGTTCTATTTATGGACAGTACTGCTGATAACTACTCCCTCCGTTCCAAAATAGTTGACCAAACTTTATACTAAAATTAGTACAAAGTTGAGTCATCTATTTTGGAACGGAGGGAGTAGTATACACAAAACTCTGGGTCCTTTCTTTGACAACAAACTGACACGTCTAAAATCTCTGTAAAACTCGAACTGAGAGCGAGCTAGTTATGGACAATATTACTCGAGCTTTGCTAAACTTATAGTTGTCTCTCCTCCAGGATAAGCTGAGTGTGATATGCATGTAGCTTTAGCATCAGGTATAAGCCGGGTCACAATTTGGGACAACCGCACTGAAGTTTTTTAAAGACGGTACAAGCTCAGTGCACTTGTAGGTTGTAGCTCAAGTTTTCTAGAAATGAGCAGCACGCGAATCCAATGCTCAGCTTTTCTATGGTGGTTTCCGTCTCATGCAAGAGCAACAAAGGAAAAGGTATATGTACAAGGAACAGTACGTGGCCTTTTTATTTTTAAACTCCCGAAAGCTCAGTACCTGCTATCCAAAATTGTACTGTTATATTGCAAAGAATGACCATCCTGACGACCGTGTGTGTGCAAGAATCAGAATTTTACGTTCTTTCGGCGAGTGGGCGACCAAGACCGCCAAAAACAACTAGGTGACCGTGACTGGCTCACGGGGAGTGCGCCATACTTTTTCTGTAAAATTAGTTTGCTGAGGACCTTTGTGTCGTCGCGACCCGATCGAGCGAACGAAGTTTCGCATGACTGGGTGACAGTGCTCCAGACGAACCCGGGGCCGGCGAAATGGCCAGAGGAGCCGTATGCCAGGAACTTGGCATATATATACTGAGGTGTGGTTCCACAATCACAGGCGTACACTTAAGAGCCAGCTCCTACCACAGCTAGCGACTCCTGCTATGCGACTGGCCATGGAGGCCTCCCCTCTCCTACTGCTCCTCTCACTCACTCTCTTACTTGCCACGTTTCTCCAGGCCAAGGCAGTGCCATCCCTGCAAGAACAAGCAGGAGCGCTCCTTGCCTGGAAAGCCACGCTCCAAAGCCACCCAGCCCAGCTGCACTCATGGTCAAGGGGAAACAATACTAGCACATGGCCCTGCAGCTGGTATGGCATCGAGTGCAGCAAGCATCAAGCAAGCCACCAAGAGGTGATCACCAAGATCTCTCTACGTGGGCTGCGGCTGAGAGGAGAGCTCGACGCCCTCAACTTCACGGCGTTGGCGACCATGACGAGCATCCAACTCTCACACAACAGGCTCACCGGGAGGATCCCTCCCGGCATTGTGTCACTCAGAGACCTCCGGTTCCTGCTTCTTCAACGCAATCAGATAAGGGGCCCTTTATCACCTGCTTTAGCATCATTGAAAAAACTACGGTGCTTAATGCTCCAGCAAAATGAACTCTCTGGTGAAATACCAAGGCAAATAGGAGAACTAGGAAATCTCGTGACGCTTAACTTATCTGCCAATCACTTGTTTGGTCCCATCCCGGGTGAACTTGGCTACCTAAAGAAGCTTGTCAGGTTAGATTTTACCTGCAACAACCTTACAGGCTCCATTCCAAGAAATTTAGGGAATCTTACTAAGCTCACTATCTTGTACCTTGATGTTAATCAGTTATCTAGACATCTTCCTTCAGAACTAGGTTATCTGGTAAATTTACGGGAGTTGTCTATTGGCATAAACAAACTCACGGGTTCCATCCCACATACCTTTGGGAGTCTGATTAACCTTGTTCTCCTGTACCTATCGGATAATGAACTTTCTGGATGTATTCCTCAAGAACTAGGTTACCTGGTGAATCTAAAATATTTGGGTCTTAGCTACAACAAACTAATGGGCACCGTCCCCAATACCTTTGGGAGTTTGGTTAACCTCACTAGCATGAACCTTCATGATAATCAATTCTCTGGATATCTTCCTCGAGGATTAGGTTACCTGGTGAATCTAAAAATGATGGATCTTAGCTCCAACAATTTCATAGGCTCCATTCCCAGTACATTTGGGAGTTTGATTAACCTCACTCAGTTGTATCTATGGAATAACACACTTTCCAGTTGTATTCCTCAAGAACTAGGTTACCTAGTAAATCTAGAAGACCTGGATCTTAGCTATAACAAACTAATGTGTTCTATTCCCAATACCTTTCGGAGTTTGATTAATCTCACTGGTTTTCGCGTCAGTGATAACCATCTCATGGGTCCTATCCCTAATATCTTTGGTTTTTTGACTAAGCTCACTATGTTATACCTCGATGATAATCAATTCTCTGGACATGTTCCACGAGAAATTGGCACCTTAAAGGATCTCCAAAATTTGCAGTTCGACGGTAACAATCTCTCTGGTCCCCTGCCACCTGGGTTGTGTTCCGGAGGTCGGCTGAAGCATTTTACTGCATATGATAACAATCTGATTGGACCACTGCCATCAAGTTTGGTACACTGCAAAAGCCTGGTTAGAGTTCGTCTGGAAAGAAATGAAATAAAAGGAGACATTTCTGAGTTAGGAGTTCATCCAAATCTTCTCTATATGGATATGAGCTCAAATAAACTATTTGGACAATTATCATCTCACTAGAGGGAATGTGGTAATCTTACCATGCTACGCCTCTCAAACAACAACCTCACAGGGGAAATACCCACAAGTATGGGGCGACTCCCTTGGCTAGGGTTGCTTGACCTTTCATCAAACAAGCTTGAAGGACATATTCCAAGTGAACTAGGCAATCTAATTTTTTTGTTCCAATTGAGCCTTGCAGACAATTTGCTCAATGGAAGCATACCACAAGAAATTGGAGCACTGTCCAATCTGGAGCTGTTGGATTTGTCATCAAATAACCTAAGTGGTATGGTACATGAATCAATTGGGAATTGTTTAAAGCTTCACTCATTTAATTTGAGCAAAAATAGCTTGAAAGGAAGCATCCCAGCCACCCTAGGGTTATTGCACAACTTACAATACATGTTGGATTTAAGTGACAATTCATTTACTGGGGCAATACCAAGCCAACTAAGTGGCCTGATCATGCTAGATACTTTGAACATTTCACACAATAAACTTAATGGCTCCGTCCCTCAATCCTTCCAGAGTATGGAAAGCTTGATTTCCATTGATGTATCTTATAATGAATTGGAAGGACCAGTCCCAGGGAGTAAGATCTTCCAAGAAGCTCCAATACAATGGTTCATCCATAATAAGATGTTGTGTGGGGAAGTGAAAGGATTTCCCCCTTGTAGTAGTGGTGCGACTCAGAGCAAAGGGAGAAGGAAAGTATACAATGCACTTGTACTAGCCATAGTTCCTGCACTGATATCTCTTGTTCTTATTGTGGTGATACTTATGATTCAACATGAAAGGAAGAAATCCACTACAATTAACACCATTAATGTAACACAAGAAAACCTCTTCTCTATTTGGAGTTTTGATGGGGCAGACGTGTTCAAGCAAATTGTCGAAGCAACCAATGATTTTAGCGAAATACATTGCATAGGAGCCGGGGGATATGGATTTGTTTACAAGGCTAGACTTCCCACATCTGAAATATTTGCAGTGAAGAAGATACACATGATAGAAGATGAGTATAGGGTGAACGAAGCAGTGTTCAATCGTGAAATCAATGCACTAATGCAAATTCGGCATCGAAACATCATTAAACTATTTGGGTATTGTTCCTGTAGCCAAGGAAGGTTTCTTATCTATGAATATATGGAGAGAGGAGACTTAGCAAAAATATTGACAAACAATGGAAGGGCAATCGAGTTGGACTGGGGAAGGAGGACACATATTGTGTTGGACGTGGGCCAGGCTTTGGCATACATGCATCATGATTGTTCATCACCAATAGTCCATAGAGATATAACAAGCAAAAATATTTTGCTCGATCCGGAATTTAGAGCATGCATATCCGACTTCGGCATGGCTAAAATTCTCAATATTGGTGGTCAGAATCTCACAAGGCTTGCTGGGACGAAGGGATATATTGCCCCAGGTATAGAAAAATGAAACCATATATCAACTAATTTGTGCACTCCATACATATGATCATGTTAATTGTAATGTGTTTGATCATGATATTGAACTCTGTAGTTAACACATATACTAATAAACTTGTATTCATTGCAGAGCTAGCATATACAAAGAATGTGACGGAGAAATGTGATGTATATAGCTTTGGGGTGCTGATCCTGGAGATATTTATGGGATCCCATCCGGGCGACTTGCTCTCATCCCTCTCATTGGGCACCAAGAATAATGATGTTTGTCTACATGATCTGTTGGACTCGAGGCTTGTGCTCCCAGATGCTGAAGCCGCTAGAGAAATATACTGCATGCTCAATGTTGCAGTACAGTGCCTGGACCCAAATCCGTCACGCAGACCAACAGCACGACAAGCCAGTGATGAGCTATCTGATATGAAAGCATGTGAAGGCCATGTTGATTATCTGCATGTTGTCCTAACTAGTCCTGCATAGTAGTCCCTATGGCCATGGATGATGACTTCATGTCATGTTGTTTCTTCTTTGCAACCAACATACCTACTTTCTTAAGAAGAGTAGTTTCGTCTATAGCTAGCAATAAACATATAATTCAGACTGTATATATGGCACTAGCAAATTTGTAATGTAAACATACTGCCATTAACAAACAACTTGATTTTCTTTTAACATTGTACAATGTGATAGTTGCATTTAAATTAAGCACATTAGTTAGTATTGAAGCATTGAAGGCTCCCTAAGAGAGTATGTGGTATGCCCAAAACGTATCATAAATTTTTGCTTATTTCATGCCATATTTATATTAAACTAGCCATGTTTCCTGCGCATTTACGTGGCTAAATTTGCTATATATTCTTTTATCATGTTAATTTTTCTCTGTCTGTATTATTTTATAATATTTAAGGCTGCATTAATATTAATCTAAATAACTAGTCAACATTTACATCTTGAGAAAACATGACTAACTTTGTAGACTCCCCCTCCCCTATTTTTTGTATTAAGTTATTGGCAAAGACTTTGGCGTGTGATGGTCAAAGGTCAAAAACATCGTGGTATATGTCCCATAATCTAAATCTATTAGCTCTTATCTTATTTTCAAATTTTCCCGATTCCACTCATTTTCATCCCTTGATAATTTTTCCCAAATATTATTTTACAGAGATCCAGAGAAAATCTAAACATTGATGAACCCTCTTGTCCATTCCATGATCAGCCTCACATTTAGCAAGATTACAATTATGCTTTCTTTATTAACTAGTGCGTTGTGACCTGTGCATTTGCGCGGCTAGATTTAAAATACAATGTTATGTTTGGTGGCTTTGTCCAACACTTCCTTTCTTGCAACTCGTTATTTGATTTGATTCATACAGACCTTAGCTTTGGCATTCATCACATTGTACACAAGCTTTACGTAAAACACAAGCCTTAGTGAAAATATCAATATACTTTCGTAGAAGTGTTTGACAGTTGAAGGACAATGCAATTGAGGTTCAAGCCCTATTTGTAACACCATTAACATTTAGAGTAATCCCTAGTTTTTCATATTTTCCTTGTCATCTCTTGATGTTTGTATCCCTCCAACAAACTTTGGAATTGTTCTACCAAGAACTAAATCTAATCATTATAAGAAACACCTCTATTTGGAGTCATTGTTGTCGAATGAATGCATCTATCGTATTGATTGAATTCCTACTGTTCATGCATCTTTGGATTTTTTTACCTAGATGTCCCTCACTTCTATGCATCATATTTATAGAAAACTGATACACCCAAAAGGAGCATCACTGTGGGATGACTTCCTTGATGAAATTATTATATTTTCACCAAGAATTAAGTAGAACATTGATGGCTCTTATTTCTAACTTGTGTTCTATTTCTCCATTCGTCTGGCCAGTGGTTGTATATACTTATGAATATATGCATTTTCTTCACTCTCTTCTTACATAGTTTTTAGGCCGAAATCACTGTTCTGACCTTGTGAGCAATCTTTGTCACAAAATGAACTCCACATGGAAGTATTTCACGATCTAGCGTTGCTAGCGTTGCTGCGGCACAAGGACATGCCGAGCTAGCTCGCGTTTCCTCCCCGGCCCACGGACAGCCCGAGTGCACGTTGCTCGCTGACGTTGCAGGCCTGAAATGCCAAAGGCGTTGGCGTTTCTGCGATGGATTAAGTAAGCCGCGTGGGGCTGCGAGTGGGTCCCAGCCCACTCGCAGCCCCCTCGGGGTCTTCTTCCTCAGTCGCCAGAGAGAATCTCTTGTCCGCCCCTCTCTCCTTCTCCACCAAATCTAACCCTAATCCCCCATTTTTTCCATCAAAAGGAGTAGATTGGACCGTCCCCAAGTTGCTTGAGGTATTCTCCTTCTATTCCTCCATTTTTTTAGTCAAGATTGATTATAGTGGATGCATTTTTTGAAACATGGTCGAACCCTAAAATTAGTTTTTTTTGATTTGTTTGAAGAATATTTTGGTGAGATTATGTTTAGAAAGAAGATGTACTACTTGTGTTGAACTATTTTTTAGGATAGTAATGTAGTATTGGATATAGAAATAGAAAAAATGTATTATGTTGAATCCTAAGACTATTTGTTGCTAAGTAGTTTGAATAGATTGTTTGGGATAACTTTGGTTGAAAAGAATTGGTGTTGGTAGTGTGTTGGGAATTTGTAGTATTTGCCTTGGAGATTAAAATGTGTACGCTTGTGTATGCAATGTGGTCATTGTTTTAAGCATTTGTATTAACAAGTCCTTAACTAATTCAACTTGCTCACTTGCATCCACCCACTTTAATCTTATCCGTGTTTCTGCCACCACCTCTTCATAACTAGGACTCTCAAGAAATATCAACACTTCCTCATACTTGTCAGCAATATCCACATTCATGAATGCCTCTTTATCAACATAATGAATATTCACAATCTTGTCCATCTAAAAAAGGGGAACATAAGTACAAGAAATGAACAATGCTAAATATACCACATTGCTACCAAAAGAACTAAGAACAACTTTGTCCATCCAAATTAAACATTACCCAAACCCTAACCCTAACCCTAGATCTTAACATTAGGCATAACCCAAACAATAAGGTTTGTTCACTAACATCACAATGCAACACTATTGGAACAAAAAGACTCAAGAACATCATATTATAGAACCATGTTCAAAAAATAGGGTTAGGAACCACATGAACAAAACAATCCAAATAGACAAATCCAACCAATAAAAAAATGTGAGATGAAGGAGGTTACCTCAAGGAACGGAAATGACATTAGATCCACGAACCAACCCAATCAATTTGCAAGGATTTGAGAGGGGCCAAGTGAGGGACACCAAGGGGGAAAATGGCAAGAGCTCGGGATAGGCCAATGGGGGAGAAGAGAGTGAGTGGTGAGTGGTGAGTGGTGGGTGAGAGCCCCATGTCCACCTAAAATATCTGGACCAGAAACGCGATAGACCCTGGCGTTTCCAGAAACGCTGGCTACCTCGGTGTTTCTGACCTGCCACGTCAGCGAGCAACACGTGCTCGGCCTGACAGTGGGCTAGGGCAGAAACGCTACGTAGTTTGGCGTTTCTAAGTTGGGCAGGAACGCCGCAGGCTATGGTGTTGCTAAAAGGGTCAGACCGTGAAATACTTCTATGCAGAGTTTAGTTTGCGACATAGATCGCTGGCAAGGTCAGAATAGTGATTTCGGCCTAGTTTTTACCGCTAAGCGGTCCTTTTTCAGTTCAAACCCTTGGTCTACGAATATGCTCAAATATTTCCGTTGGCCCATATACTACTTCATCTCTGTTTTCATCTTCAATTTTGTTAGTATCATGGTGTGCTTATATAAACATGTACGTGTAGCTACTCGTATTCGTAGTTTCCAAACTATCTACGTCGTTTGTGCCATCCATTCCTTTGTTCAAAGCAAGCTGACGAGTATGCTACGTATGATCGAAGTCGCCCCAAGCATGGTGAATATCTTCGCTAAATCATAACGACGAAGCTTTGTTTCTCTAAAAAATCTTCTCCTTAAAATGATTTTTGATTCCATCTCTATAAGAATGCAACAATTGTAGATGTAGAAAAATATTTAAAAAATTGTAAATGTAAAAATATATTTTCCACAGCTTATCGGGTTTATTTCTAGTGCAAAACACTACTGGAGGAATGCCTAGCAGTGGCGGGCGCAAAAAGGCCAGTAGTGGCGGGCGATGCACCCAGGGCCGCCCGCCACCGACCTCCAGCCGCTGCTATAGCCGCAACAATGTCGGGCGTCCGCCCGCCACTGGCACGTGCTTCTTGTGGCAGGTGACAGTTCCTACCTGCCATAGAAACCTTTGTGGCAGTGGCGGTTGTCCAGTAGCGCCCGCCACAGAAACCTTTGTGGCAGTGGCGGTTGCCTCGTAGCGCCTGCCATTGGAGAGATATGCTACAACAAACAAATTATTGGCACTGCGGGCTGACACACATTACTCCAAAGGCATAGTCATATGGTTCTCAATATAACTGAACCAAATCGAATCATTTTGGAAACAAACGACCAAATAATTAAGTAATACTTCAAATTTGTTCGACTCAAGAAACAATTAAACATCAATGTATTGATACGTCTCCAACGTATCTATAATTTATGAACTATTCATGCTATTATATTATCTGTTTTGGATGTTTATGGGCTTTATTAAACACTTTTATATTACTTTTGGGACTAACCTATTAACCCAGAGCCCAGTGCCAGTTTATGTTTTTTTCCCTTGTTTCAGTGTTTCGCAGAAAAGGAATATCAAACGGAGTCCAAACGGAATAAAACCTTCGGGAGAGTTATTTTTGGAACGGAAACAATCCAGGGGACTTGGAATGTACGTAAGGGAAGCAACGAGGAAGCCACGAGGTAGGGAGGCGCGCCCTACCCCCTGGGCGCGTCCCCACCCTCGTGGGCCCCTCGTGGCTCCCCTGACCGACTTCTTTCGCCTATATATGTCCATATACCCTAAAAACATCGGAGAGCAGAATAGATCGGGAGTTCCGCTGCCGCAAACCTCCAGAGCCACGAAAAACCAATCGGGACCCTGTTCCGGCACCCTGCCGGAAGGGGGATCCTGAAGGAAATATGCCCTAGAGGCAATAATAAAGTTATTATTTATTTCCTTATATCATGATAAATGTTTATTATTCATGCTAGAATTGTATTAACCGGAAACATAATACATGTGTGAATACATAGACAAACAGAGTGTCACTAGTATGCCTCTACTTGACTAGCTCGTTAATCAAATATGGTTATGTTTCCTGACCATGAACAATGAGTTGTTATTTGATTAACGAGGTCACATCATTAGTTGAATGATCTGATTGACATGACCCATTCCATTAGCTTAGCACCTGATCGTTTAGTATGTTGCTATTGCTTTCTTCATGACTTATACATGTTCCTATGACTATGAGATTATGCAACTCCCGTTTGCTGGAGGAACACTTTGGGTGCTACCA